TACCACTGAGTACTCACTGGCCCCGCTGGATGAGTTCACTACTTATTACGTTCAAGTGCACGCTGAAACATCTGTAACCGGGTCGTCTTCCGACATTATCTCGGCAAGGACAAATGAGGATGGTTAGTGCAGTACATTAACATTATTCGTTGTTGTTTTCGCTTTGTTTGTTTTGTTTTTGTTTTTTGTTTCTATGCTTTTTTGTGGGGTTTCCTTCGTCAATGGTTACCGGAGGCAGCTACATGCAGCATCTAGCAAATAAGTAACAAGTACCACCAATATTTTCAATGTTTCCGTCGCTTATTGTTCTTGGTGTTTATTGTTTTTGGTTATCAAATGTGATCTCCACGGATGACTTACTGAATGGAAATAAACGAATTAAATGAAGAGAACCAAAGCATCAGCACAAATAGAAGATAATGAGTTCCTGGCCATTTCCTATGGTTCATATGGTTCATATCGCTTATCGATTTTCTTATAGATTCAACATATCAGTTAAGTAAAGATGGTAGCTGACATAGATCTTTTAAATCTATTTTTGACTTACAACTAAAGCTCCCAGCTCTGCTCCAGTCATTGATAGAAAAGGAACAAAAGCCGAGGATGCGCACACCATAAGAGTCATATGGAATGAAATTGGAAAGGAGGATCAAAACGGCTTGATATTGGGTTATGAGGTTTTATACAAAGAAAAAGGCCAACAAAACAGTTTCAGGTTGAACACAACATCGACAGGCACCATAATTGCGCGCTTGAAACTATATACGGAATATTGCATTCAAGTTCAAGGGTTCACAAAAGCTGGGAAGTCACCATTCAGCCCCTGCTTTGATGTCAGGACACTGGATAAAGGTATGTCACCTTTAAATTAACTTTGATTTATCATCATGCTTGAATTAAGGAGGTTGTTAATTAGCAATACAAAAACAACAACATCGACGGTAAAATAACTAAACAGTTGACTGAGACGTAAATCAGTGTCAACAACATTCAACTTCTGAAGAAAACGTTTGTTTCTGCTTTTCAATACAATGTTTCTCTTGAGGTGCAGAATAGTAGTTTTATAGGCACAGGGAAGTCTCTAAATAGAAATGGCCAAAACTCTGCTGGTGTTTTTTTGGTATGTTACACCAACACCCTCTCCCCCGCCGCGTTCCTATCTTAAGCTACGCCCTTGAAGAGAGAGAGAGCTGTGAATAATTTGAGGCACTTCAAACTGTACTTTGTTATGATTGGACCACTCAAACGTGAACAAATCCTGTGCTGTTAATTTTTTTGGATAGGTCCAAGCCAACCACTCAATGTTCAAGTTCAAGCCGTTTCTTCCGTTGCAATTCTTGTAAAGTGGGATGCACCAGCTCACCCTAATGGAGAAATAAAAGAGTATATAATATTTTATGGAACCAGCAAGGATGTACAGAAAAATGAGCGAAAAGTAACTGGAAGCACGCGGGAACGTACTATAGATGGCTTGCACAAATATACCACTTACTATGTGAAAGTCAGGGGTAGTGCCTCGGAACCAGGAAATGCTTCTGAAATATTCAATGTTACAACTTTCGAAGATAGTAAGTAAATACCAATGATTCAAGTATTTCGAGTGTTAATTGAATTCCGGGAAACGCCTTTTAGACCTTTTTACCTGATTGTTTATGTTGTAAAGCGCCAGACTGCCGTGTGGGTAGTCGAAGGTCCAAACCTCATACCGGACAACTCTTAGGAATGTGCTGCCTTTGTTATGACGTCTGGAAATGGTTAGTCATTCTAGTTTTCTTAGAGGAGAACGAAAACCTGAACCTTAAAGAACGCACGCACTTCAAGCAAAGAATAGTACCTAAAACTTTGTATTATTTATTCCACGATAATTTCGAAGTGGATGACGAAAATGACTGTCGCAAAATAGATAGTGGCTCATTAAAAGCTCAGCAGTCGCCTTTAGCTCGTGATTTACATTCCCTTCTCGTTCTCTCTCATCTTGCAAGCGTATTTACAACATTAAAATGAGAACTATGTCGCTTAAATAACTGACTGTACGATCACTTGTTTAGTAGATCAAACGATTATTTTTGTTTATTCTAATTATTAATTTTATTTATTTCTGTGTTCATCCCAGGTCCTGGACCTCCAAAGGAGTTCAGGGCTCAGGTCGTAACCGCTAATGATGTTCATCTGACATGGAAGAAGCCTGATAATTCCAATGGAATTGTAAGGTTCTATTACATAAAGATCTACAATACTAAAACCGGGTTACAGTTCAGAAACCCTATCAACCATAACGCAGACGAGCGGTCACTCGTGCAGCACTACAGCAGAGTGATACCAGACCTCAAGTACTCTACAGACTACACGTTCACAATCCAGGCCGTCACAGTTAAACCTGGGGAAATGGCTAACGCTACAGCAAGAACAGAGGAAGGAGGTATTGAATGACCATGGTCGATGGTTTTCTCTTTCCTCTGAATAAGTGGAACTATTTTGTATATTAAGATCTTTAATATTGAAATCCTCCAGTTAGCTTCTAATAGTAGCTTTGTGGGTACAGGTGACGGGTTTAAGATTGAGCGTAAATGGACACCATTATGAACATCCATAGCAGCACGAGAACTCTTGCTCTTGAGAACGATCCTGATGATGAGAATTGAAAAAGTACGATTTCCGCGACTACTCTTCAACTCAGCAGTTAAACGTTTGTCATGCGCGAGGGGAATTAATCTTGGCGCTCTGTGCGTCACATTCCCGCACAAAATTTTAAAGGAAACATAAGAAATAACCACTGACTCGCAAAAACCACGCGTTCATAGAAATCTGTTAAAGGAAACAAGCGTTTGAAAAAAGAAAACTCCAGACTTGTAGAACAAAAAGCTTATTCATTTAGGGGTATCCTGTTGATTTACAAGTGTACCATCCTTTTTTGAACTTACCAAAAACTGTTATACGCTTCTAAAACACCGTGACTCACTGGCTTGTCTAGCATTTTGTTAGTTTTGAGAGAAATCTTGGTTCTGACAACGTGAAAGCACTTTATCTAGTCATTTCAAAGTTCGCACTTGTACAGACGTTTGACCGCTTTGTTTTAGTATTTCATGCATTACCACTAGTTAACGATTTTTTGATTCTCCCTCTTTGACATGTACGTCCGTTCTGGGAATGCTTCACGCAGAAGGACGCGCACCCTTTTTATGTATTTTCACATTGATAACAATTTAACCCATTTACAAACGTTCTGCTTCTTTAACTTGAGATATATGATTTTTTGCAGTCCCAAGTCAGCCTCAAGATGTCTCTGCGAAATTTGACAAAGGTGGAATTGTTATTACTGTTTCATGGAAGGATCCAAAAGACCACAATGGAATTATCATCATGTACTCGGTGAGTTACGCTGTAACAATCCACTGATAAGCATGCTTTAAAGATTTAAGATGCGGTCATCAGCTAGCATCTATGATTTGTGTTATATTTTTTCTGTAATGACAGGTGTAAGATTTTCCATTAAAAATCAATTAGAAAATTAAGGACTCGCTGCCTGCTTCTAGCCAATGGAAACCCGAGGTTTAAGTGTGTACATTTTTTTGGGATTCAGAATAATTTCTTTATCCTCTAAGCGCTTACGCCACACTAAATGCTATTTGTTTGCTTTTGTTTTTTTGTTTGTTTCCTTTTTTTGTTTGTTTTTTTCTGAGATGTTATATCTTCCTCGTTTTTCAGGTATACTTCGAGGGTAAAAGAGGATATGACCCTTCCTTTACAGATAACCACCAAATTGTCTCAGGAAGCAGCTCTCGGAGCACTGAAATTGGAGTAGCGAGGTTGAAGCCTGGTACAGAATATAGTATTTATGTGAAAGCAAGGACAGTCAAAGGATATGGAGCCGAAAGTGTTCGTTTAAGGCTGAAAACACTATCAAAACGTATGCGAAAATTTTTTGTTCATTTGTGTTAACATGTTGAAACTTTCAGCTTGTACATCCGTTGCCTATGGCATCACGGCAATTGCGTCAGCAAGCAACTCGCTCAATCTTTGAGCAGTGGGTAAGGAATGAGAAAGGCAGGCACGGGGACAGACGGGCAGGTAGACAGACGGAGGGACGGTGGGACAGAAAGACAGAGAGAGGGAGGGTGAGACAGATAAACAGACAGGGGAAGGGTGGAACAGATAGAGAGACAGAGGGACGGTGGGACAGATAGAGAGACAGAGGGACAGTGGGACAGATAGAGAGACAGAGGGACGGTGGGACAGATAGAGAGACAGAGGGACAGTGGGACAGATAGAGAGACAGAGGGACAGTGGGACAGATAGAGAGACAGAGGAACGGTGGGACAGATAGAGAGACAGAGGGACAGTGGGACAGATAGAGAGACAGAGGGACAGCAAGGCACTTCCAGAGATTTTAAATAAAATGAGGCCGTAAGTACTTATAATGCGTTGATCAAATGTCATACCGACGGGTGGACGTTCTGATTGTTTTTGTTTTGCTGAAAAAGTAATGAAGACAGGTTTCTGGGTTACGTCAATTAAGAGAAAGTGATTTATTTTCTCTTGGTTACGTTTCGTTGCACTCATCCAAAATATTTGATCCTTGAAGAAAAGTCAACTCCAATGACAGGAAGACTTCAACTGAAAACAGAGATTGTAAAGACCTTTTTCAGCTTGAGCCAAGGAATCCATGTGAAATAATAAGCAACCTGCTTTGAAGTATTGATATTTGGTGGGACAGATAGAGAGACAGAGGGACAGTGGGACAGATAGAGAGACAGAGGGACGGTGGGACAGATAGAGAGACAGAGGGACAGTGGGACAGATAGAGAGACAGAGGGACGGTGGGACAGATAGAGAGACAGAGGGACGGTGGGACAGATAGAGAGACAGAGGGACGGTGGGAGAGATATACAGACAGAGGTACAGTGGGACAGATAGAAATACAGAGGGACGGTGGGAGAGATATACAGACAGAGGTACAGTGGGACAGATAGAGAGACAGAGGGACGGTGGGACAGATAGAGATACAGAGGGACAGATGGACAGATAGAGAGACAGAGGGACAGTGGGACATATAGACAGTGGGACAGATAGACACACAGAGGGTCGGTGGGACAGATAGAGAGACAGAGGGACGTTGGGACAGATAGACAGACAGAGGGACAGTGAGACATAGACAGACAGAGGGACGGTGGGACGTATAGACAGACAGAGGGACGGTGGGACAGAAAGACAGACAGAGGGATGGTGGGACAGATATACAGAAAGATAGAAACACAAACAGATACATGTAAATAAACAGGATAGAAAGGCAGATAAACGGACAAATGTGCAAAATTAATGATTTTTACGTTAAATTTTTGCGTTATACTTTTGTTCTTTTGTTTACAGGTCCACCACGGCCTAAACCTCCCCAAGTTGTCGAACATGACGTCACGACAACAACAATTACGATTTCGTTATCGCCATCCAGTGACCATAACGGAGAGATTATGTGAGTTCTAGGGAGTCTGTTTGTAGTAGTGGCTTTTGCAATTGTTTTTTTTCTTGGACCAGCCATCACCACACGCTGGGGAGGAGGTGGTGGTTTGGAAGGTGTTTGGGACGTCACAGGGTTTTCAGGGGAAACGGGAGGGGGATCCGTTGTCTTTAATAGAGCTAAAGGGAAGTCCATAGAAAATGTACTGCCAAATAACCGTCGACGAGTGAGGAACTTACAGAGCCCTTTGGGGGAATCAGATACATTTCTATGTTGGCACAACCAAACTCCTCCGACTTTGAATATGCAGATTGAGGGTTGAATATGTTAAACATTGGCTAAAGTTCGCTTTAAAGAATTGAAATTCTAGAATTATTTACCTCCACAACCAAAGGCGCATAATTTATTGAACAAATATTAAGCGTTTCTTACGCGAACATTTTATTTTCCTAAGAGACTTTTTGGCGCCACTACCAAGCTAACGGTAACATGATTTGTTTCTCCTTTTATTTAAACACCGAACTTGTAGGTTTAGTATTACTTCTTTAGATTAAAACTGACCTTTTTGAAACCTTACTCCTTTAGTCGACATGAGATCATAGTAGAAATGCTTGGAACAGCCAGAGCTCGTAGGGAAACAACCGCCTTACCGAAGAATATATACGGCTATGAGGAAGCGCAAACAAATGGAGATCGTTTCTACATTGCGGCTATGTTTGAAAAACGAAAACCCCCTGCTGAGTTCGTTCTTGGAAACGGAAAAACATACGGCGATTATAAGAATGTCCCTCTTAAACCAGGGACTCGATACAATGTGTATGTAAGAGGAGTCACCGAACGTGACGGGGTAAGTATTTAAGCTTGCATTGTGGATTTCAGCACCTTATCGCAGTTTTGTTTTGTTTCGTCTCAGTCAGGCTGTGTCTCAATATGTGGTGGAATGTTTCCTTTTTTTACAGAAATGGCTTTACGGAGAACCAGCTGCTATCAGTCAGCTGGAAACTGGTTAGTGCCTTTCAAAGCATTCAAATTAATGACAATGGACTGTACCCTTGTCGTACATACCGTATTTTGTTAAATGATCTCAATATATCGTCTATGGTTGTCTCTCACATGCAGTCATTTGCAACATTGTACTTTTTTTAAGTCGCTGGTGGCTGGAGCGAGTGGAACTCATGGAGAGTCTGTAGTAAGCCAGTTGGTGGTATACAAACAAGGGAAAGAGAATGTAATATTTCAGAACCAGCATATGGTGGGAAACACTGCTATGGGACCAGAGTACTGCTGAGAGAATGTAACAACACGTCCAGTTGTAATCAAGGTAACATGCAAGAATCTAATTTTGTGATTTCAGTGAAAGGAAAGTCTGTAACAGAAAAGAACACATCAATGAACACACGAATAGGTATTTATGTAACAATGAATTTAGGAAAAATTCTGAGTTTGAACTTTAATCACACATTGTCATGAAGGAACGTATGTAAAAACCACAAGTCTCACATCCTATGTGAATGCATTAAAACTGTACCTGTACAAAATTCACCATGCACTTTTTGAAAGAAAAAGAAAAAACCTCGTTCCATGTACATAAATTGTCAAGTGACCGTTTTCTGATAGCTACAGATTATGTTCGTTTTAAAATCTCTTCTCCTCCTCTATTCAGTATAGCAATTATTACAATGAACGTTATGAGGGTCCTACTTTAATTACAAAACATTTTCATGCCCGTTTGACTCAACCTCGATGGTCTCGATGGCATCATTATTTCTGAGATTTTCCCTAATCTGAAATATTTAGGTGTTTTCTATGGCATACGAGAGAAACGTCCAAGGACATGAATTCATAACCAGCTTAATCATTTTACTCGGCAAACATCATTATGTCTGTAAATAGAATAAGAAAGAAGATGAATTTTGAGCTCGGTAAAGAACGAAATAGAGAAAGTTGTTGTTCGTCTTGTCACAAGCGTGGGACAAAGAATAAAATTCTAACTCTCCATGAGGAATGAGACCTAAGACCTTCAGATTCCGCGCTCCTATGCCCTACCACTGAGCCACAGCAGTGACTCTGGGGTGAGCAAGGCCCAATATGAAGTCCATGTATAACACGCGTCCTGCATACTGCTGGGATGTTTGTTATTAGTTTGATTATTATTGATGTTGTTTTCATCATCAAAACTATTAAAAAACAAAAAAAAAAACAAACAAACTAACTAGATATTTTCCTTTTCTACAATTTTTTTAAGCATTTCCGCTGCGTTTTAAAACAGCGAAGAACCCATCTGTCGGTAGAATGGAAATCTACACAAACAATAGCTGGGAAAAGCTTTGTACCAGTCAATGGGATGAAGGTGATCTCAATTCAACCTGCATGGCCATGGGCTACTATAACAACGGTGTATATGTTAATGACACATGGTATGCAAAAAGAGGCAACGCCTCCAAGAAATCCAGCTACCATAACTGCACCATTCCAACTACATGTGAAAAAAACCTGGCAAAGAAACAGCAATTTTGCAAAGGTAAAAGTGAATTGTACTCATTTTCCGTATTTTGTACCATGATAACTTCAAGTACATTGACAGAGAGATAAAATGACCTGAGAATAATTGTTCTTCGTCCTCGAGGTTTGCTCAGATACAAGAAAGGTATCAAAAATTAAAAATTCTGCCACAGCTGGCAGTAATGTCGCAGTATGACTGGCCAATGTGTTGCGGACTCACTTGACTGCCCCTCGTGAGTCCTCAAACCATTGTCGATTAGTTGATTTTAGCTGTTTTCTACAACTCTAACTACATGCTTAAAATAAAACTATTTAATATAGCTGTCGAAATAAGAACCTGCGCTATCATGCATTTAGGGCTCATACACGTTATAGTATTAAAAAAAATAGTCAAATTGATACTTTTAAATCCTTAAATTCAGTTCCCTAAAACTTTTTTCTCCTTTTTCTTTCCCATTTTTTCTCTTTTGCGTGCAATAAGAAAATGTCCAAATCTCCAACTGACACCTAAAAAAACGTCTCTTCCTTCAGAGGTTATAGTATATCATATGAATTTCCCGATTGCACTCTCAACGTTTAGCGTTTTAAAGTTACGAAAACATGCTTTCAAAAGTTCTGAAATGCTTCAAATATAAATTAGATCTTGTTTGCGTTCAATTTAGTATAATGATGAAACTTGCGAGGTGAATCACATGAATGCTTTGATAAAGGGATCGTCGACCACATCGCCTCAAGGAGACTAACAATATGCAGTGTAAACGTCTTGATCCACATTGGAAAACAAATGACACCTGCAACATCGAAACTATTATTTTCCGAACCAATGAAACTTGTAGCCTGACGGACAATAGAAAATAATATGCCGAGAATGTTGAAGAACACAATCACTAAGTTGGCACTAACTGAATAATTCTG